ACACACACACACACACACAAACAAAATGCTCTCTGGCATTTTTAGATGAGTCACCCCGATCCATTCCAGGAGCTTGTAGACTCACTACGACGAGTGCTACGCAATCCATTGGCACCGCTGCCATTACCACCCATCACGTCCTCCATCACAACCAGCACTTCTTCGCCTACCATCATCGCTAGTCCCCACAATAGGTTATTTTCTATTTGAACCTCTCTGCTGTAACAGATCGGCCAGGCTCTGCCACCACCCAATCACAACGATCCCTTTCACCTGAGTTCTGAGCACCAGCACCTGTCACTAATCATGCACCTCATTAACCAACCTGCATAAAAGCATACACCTCAGACACCCTCATTGTCCGGTGTCGTATACACGTAGAGTCAGGCCAGCCCCATCATTCAAAATCTGCAGAACTTCCTGGGGCATTTTTGCGAGGTGTTTGGAAGGACCGACGGAGATACCGCTGTGGGAGAGCAACTCTATCATTTACAACAGGGTACCATGTCAATTGCCGAATACTCGCTGAAGTTCAGAACTCTCGCAGCAGCAAGTGGATGGAATGAGAGATCGCTGCTGACTACCTACAGACAGGGACTGGAGCCCCAGCTTTGGTCACAGCTCGCTGCATATGATGATTCATTTGGATTGGAAAAATTAATTCAGCTATCCATCCGATGCTCGAGCCGCATGCAGTCCTGTCTAGCAGCAATACCAGTCCACGCCACAACCTCCTGCCTCCGCCGACCAGAGCCCAGTTACCCTCCAGAACCAGCACCAGAACCCATGATTGTGGAGAAGCAACGGTTATCTTCCGCTGAGCGGCAGAGAAGGCTGACCCGGGGTCTCTGTTTATACTGTGGAGCTCAAGGGCATATGATCTTGGCATGCCCCCTTCGCCCTCCACGTCCTGTGGTGAGTGTGATTCAGCCTGATATCATTAAGATGGAGCCCCTCACTACCTGTGTAATGCTTACTGCCTCTGATGTTTCTATTTCAGTATCGGCTCTTATCGACTCCGGGTCAGCGGGAAACTTCATATCCCGGGACCTCTGCCGCTAGCTCAAGTTACAAGCTACCGCCACTGAAACCGTTTACCAAGTCCAGTCGATAACTGGAACACCACTATGCTGTAGACATGTCCGCTATCGCATGGGACCCATCACTCTTCGTCTGGGCCTACTTCACTCTGAGGACATTCATCTTCTGGTTCTGGAGGGATCTACGGCGGACATCATCTTAGGGCGCCCGTGGTTGGTAAAGCACAATCCCATTCTGTCCTGGAAGACGGGAGAAGTCCTGAAGTGGGGCAAGGATTGCTTCCCAGACTGCTTCCCCGGGACTCCATCACCATCTAAGAAACGCCCAGAGGCCCTTCCCGTGAATTCAACCTCCATTGAGAGTCCCATCGAGAAGCAATCCATAGACATTCCAGCCTGCTATGCCCCCTTTAGAGACGTGTTTTGCCAGAAACAGGCATCCCGCTTACCACCACACTGGCCATGGGACTGCGCCATCGATCTCATTCCGGGTGAGCCAGTGCCTCGGGGAAAAATCTATTCACTGTCGCTTCCTGAACAGAAGGGAATTCCCCATTCAGTGGCCTCAAACACGGCTCCCAACAATCTGCCGGGCTGTCCTCCAGGATGCCAGTACGTACCACGAACACAACGCCCCCCTGATTCACTCTGCTCACTCCTCCCGAGGCACTGGCCATCCAGGGGCCAACAACACCCCCATGACGTCGGGGGTTTCTGCCCTCAGGAGCGGGCCGTGGAGGGGGGGATACTGTAACAGATCGGCCAGGTTCCGCCACCACCCAATCACAACGATCCCTCTCACCTGAGTTCTGAACCAAATAAACCTGTTTTATATACAGTATACTAACCTGTTGCGTCAGACCTCTTCCGTTACATCTGCAGAACAGTCTGTTTTTATAGGCGGGACGCATTCAAGACTCACAAGTAAACGACTACTGCTATGATTGGCTAACAGTTTCGCTTATTAAAATAACAGATGGACGCTGCTGTGATGTACTTTGAAAACAACATGGGTCATTTGGTTTAAAAACGTATAAATACTCAGTTTATATCAAACGGTCTGGAACAGACAATGCAATAGTGGTAAAAGCACGTTTACTCACACTTATGTGCTGAGACATTACTGTTGGATCCACTTATAAAATAATCCTAAGTAATTATCATTAAAGCCAGACAATTTTGTTGTTAATCTTTTATTTTTTTTATTTTTTATTTTTTTTACTATATAGTGACCTTTCATTTGGAGGAAGAGAAACTGGGGGAGTGGCTTTTTTTGTGTCAGGCATGTGTCACTTTGCTCACATCTGATTGGTCCAATTTGAGATCTCTTACCCAGAACATAACCTGCCCTGGAGTAGGTTAGCTGTGGAGTGTAAGTTAATATGGCAATGAACGCTGCTAAAAGCCAAGCCGCTTTCATGGTACCTAAAACCCCGGATTGATGCAAACTAAACTATATCTTACCTGGCTAGCCAGTTAATCCGGCCTCATGGTACAGGCCCCCGCTCTATTTCTGACATACAAACATTCGAAAGAGAAATTTATTCGCAACATGACGCAGCAGCACTTTAAAAATGAATTCCATGGTGTGATTTTTGGCTCTGCTCCTGGTCTCTAGAGTTTTATTCTTTTCATATTTTAAATTAGGATAGCTGATTTAAATTTAGCTTACATTAAGGTTATAACAAAACACTCTAAAAGGATTTCAGAATATAGAACACTGCGCGCACACACAGGTTTGTTTTTGTGAATTGTGGGGATATTCCATAGGCGTAATGGTTTTCATACTGTACAAACCGTATTTTCTATTGACCTACTACACCAACCCTACACCTAAAACTACCCCTCACAGGAAACTGTCTGCATTTTTAGATTTTCAAAAAAAACTCATTTTGAATGATTTATAAGCCTTTTGAAATATGGGGGCACCTTCTCGTTGTAATACCTATGTCACACCCATGTCATTATACAAATTTGTGTCCTCATAATTCACAAAAAAAACGCACACACACAGACACTGTCACGATGCACACACGAGGAACGAGGAGACGCTGGAGAATACTTTACCAAGTCTTTATTTTCAGGAACCAAGGGAGACGAACTCAGGAAGACGTTTAACAGCGGACCGAGAACTTGGGACTGGGAACACTTTTTATACACACAGGAGGAGGGGATGACGAGACACACCTGGGAGCAATGAAACATCAAGGGAAACACCTGGGACAAATGAACTTAACTAATCGGGAGGAACAGGAAACTAACCAAATAAGGGCATGGGAAGGCAAATGGGGAGCAGGACACACACAAAACATGGAACAGAGTCTGACATAACGCCCCCCTCCGGAAGGCGTGACCTCACGCCATATAACATCCACTGGGGAGGGGGGGTGGGCACTCTGGAGGTCCCTCAGGACAGACACGGGACAGTGGGCCTCCAGAGCAGTACCCGGATTTTTGGCTCTGCTCCTGGTCTCTAGAGTTTTATTCTTTTCATATTTTAAATTAGGATAGCTGATTTAAATTTAGCTTACATTAAGGTTATAACAAAACACTCTAAAAGGATTTCAGAATATAGAACACTGCGCGCACACACAGGTTTGTTTTTGTGAATTGTGGGGATATTCCATAGGCGTAATGGTTTTCATACTGTACAAACCGTATTTTCTATTGCCCTACTACACCAACCCTACACCTAAAACTACCCCTCACAGGAAACTGTCTGCATTTTTAGATTTTCAAAAAAAACTCATTTTGAATGATTTATAAGCCTTTTGAAATATGGGGGCACCTTCTCGTTGTAATACCTATGTCACACCCATGTCATTATACAAATTTGTGTCCTCATAATTCACAAAAAAAACGCACACACACAGACACTGTCACGATGCACACACGAGGAACGAGGAGACGCTGGAGAATACTTTACCAAGACTTTATTTTCAGGAACCAAGGGAGACGAACTCAGGAAGACGTTTAACAGCGGACCGAGAACTTGGGACTGGGAACACTTTTTATACACACAGGAGGAGTGGATGACGAGACACACCTGGGAGCAGTGAAACATCAAGGGAAACACCTGGGACAAATTAACTTAACTAATCAGGGGAGGAACAGGAAACTAACCAAATAAGGGCATGGGAAGGCACATGGGGAGCAGGACACACACAAAACATGGAACAGAGTCTGACACACACACACACACACACACATACACATAAATACTAGCCTTTGAAGAGGATCTGCTTATGTTGTTCATGCGATTACATTTGGATTTCATCATGTCAAATATCACTCTGACATACCAGCACACACTCAATGCTTGCAAGCGTTTCTGTGAGCTGTTTTGTTCACACATGCACATAAACTCAACCAGCATTCCAACTGGAAAAGTGTTTTCATGTACAGTGGAATTCAAAATAATATTTAAACCTGGAAATAAACAGAGAGCTTTAGGATTTTGGAAAATAGTGAATAAAATTTTTGGAAAAAGTGTATTAAACTGAGAAAAATGCTAATTAGAAGCATTTTCTTTAGTGGACTTTTGGATCCCATTGCATTTATGCCCATATGTTTAGGTGGGCCATCATTTGATCTGGTAGACCGGTTGATCATTTCCTATGATCACAACACATATGATGCCCTACTTTTCCTACTTATGAGCATTTTTAAAAAGCTAGTTTACTTTCTACTGTCTGACACACTTCCATAATCTGTTCTGTAAATTTGGGATGATAAACAAGATACATTTAGTGAGCTTTTGGTAGTGAAATGTAACAGTGCTCTAAGTGTGTTTAAAATAGCTTTTTGATATTATGTTTTAGAAATTCATTTTACTGACTATTAAACCATAAACTTATAAATATTCTCCTTTAAAAATTTAGATTTTTTTGATGGGTCGTAGAAGATGCTGATGCAATGCTAAATAGATTTGTGCATGTGTGTGTGTGTGTTTTCTTCTAGCGGCCTCTTTGCCAGCCATTACACTGAGATGCATTACAGGGAAGATGGACAAACTGTTATGAGCACTCACAACTCTACGGTACGTTAAACAGTCTCACATACATTTGTCTTTTGGTATACACACATTCCAGTGAGGTAATGAACTGCATATTAATTGTTGGCCCATTTCAAATACTGTAAGAGGAAATCAGACCAACTTGTAATACATCTGCATCTAATTTTCTGGGTTCAACCAGAAATGAACATTTTGTCATCATTTACTCACTCTTCCATACTTGTATGACTTTCTTTGTTCTGTGGAGCAAAAAAGGAGATGTTTAGTCAAAAGTCCAAGCTGTCCTTTTCTATACATTAAAAGTGGACAGGGAGTAAAGGCTGTCAAAACCCTCATAGACAGTAAACCAACAAAAAAAAAAAAACGTCCCGCTAGTGGTACAAAACACTCGAACACTGTATATTTTAAGAATTTAGGAATATTACAATAGCTTTACAAGAGGAACAGGCTGAAATTGAAGTCATTTTTGCTTAACCTTTGATAATTCATTGTATTGAATGTCAGCTTGGACATTCAGCTATAAACTAATTTTTCTTCCAAGGAAGAAATAATTTGTATAGGTTTATGAAGGACATGTGGATGAAACAGTGAATTTTCATTTTGAGTGAACTATTCTTATATTGTTGTCAAATATAATGCTTAAAAATCTTCAAAAGTTAAACTGCGCTGGCTAGTGCACTAGCACTGGCCTTCTTCCCAGAGCTGATTAATCTTTGCTGTGATGTGATGTTGACACAAGGACAGCATGTTGACATTATTGTCAGGCCTTATTTGAATTGTCTGCTGGCTCTTTTGTACTTTTATAATTAGACTAGTGATAAGAACCGCAACTAACAGCTTTGACAACATGTTGCCATCCCCCCATTCCCAATCACACATGTGTAGGCTTGACAATATTCTTAAATATTCCTGCTGAGTATATTTAGCTCTTATTTATAATCATTTAAGCCTGTCCAAATAGCCATGAACATCTTTTGTATTCAAAGCTGAAAAGGTCTAAAAAAATTGAGCCGTTGTATAAGATTAATTAATCAAAAATAGGTAAAACAGCTTGACAAGGCTTTGGTGTGAGTGATGATAAAACAGTTATTTGATTGACAATCTAATTTGGACAATGAAAAAAACAGACTTAAAATAGTTTTAAAATGGAAAATCATATGCGAAAAAATAGAACTGATAAGGATTGTAGAAAAAAAAAAGAATAACAATGAGAAATTGCTTTAGAATCAATTCTTTGAATCAAAAGGTGGCAGTTAGATTATAAAAATTATTTATTGTTTATTTCTAAGAACTGGTTTTTCGAATATTATATTGAAATTACGATTTTATCCTTCAACATTGTTTTCCCACTTAAACAGTCCAAAAAGCTAATTTCTCAGCAGATACATGTGTGAACTGTCATCCAAGGCAGACACATAGAAAAAGCAGCCTAGTTTTTTTTTATGCTGATCCTTAAAATCAGGACATTATGAAAGAAAAATTGCCTGCTTTTACTAATATAAGTCTGAGACTTCACTTTGGTGGCCTAGTGTATTATTTAACAGGGCCATTAGCTAGTCAGTCATCATTTTTAGCTCTAGTTATCCTACATCTATGGCTGTTTCTGGTACATTCTTTGCTATTCTTGGTCTGTTAAAACTTAAAGATGTGGAAATGGTAGCCACAAAAATTCCCTCAGACAGCTGAGTTTTGATGTGAAGGATTTTTGCCATCAAGCGTTGATTGCTTTTGACAGAGTGGTGTGTTTTTTAACGGTTTTGTCTGCCTGCGTGTGTGTGTGTGTGTGTGTGTGTGTGTGTGTGTGTGCGTGTGCGTGCGTGTGCGTGTGCGTGTGTGAACATTCATGTGAGTGATGGCAATTAGATGTCCAGCCTGTATTTCCACATGAAAGGTCTTTGGGGGTTTGTGCCAGCCATAACAGGGGAGAATAGTTTCCTTGTAAAATAGACCAGCAGCCAGACACTACTCTTACTGGCACCTCAAAGTGTGGTTTTCATCGGCAAAGATGACTTTTGCTAAGTGGCACTTTGCTACATGATCCCTTAATACCATATCTTGCACCTGAACAGGATCTCATTTCCATTTCCAGTTAGTAAATGATCCAATTTTATGGTTAATTGATTTCGGAAATAACCCCCACTTTAGCTTGATCTGTTGGCCAAAATTCTTGGCCAAAGTTTTCTTGTTGAACATCTGGCTGTTGTGTCAGTGACATAATGTTTTATTTGTCCGGATTCATTTATTCAAAAATACATAAAAAATGCAATTCAAACATACAATGACTTTTATGTTGAACACATTTTCTGTATTAAAAATCATTTTCATTTATTTTTTTATTTTATTCATTCATTCATTCATTTTTTGCATAAAGTAAAAAATGTCAAGTTATCTGTTCTAATACTGTAGTGCTAAAACATCATTAAAATATCTAGAAAAGAAAACCTTATTAAGTGGTTTGGCATAATCTTTTATTACTTATTTTATTTTTAAACTGCTTCACTGCTTATTAATATTTGAAAAATGTTAGTCCAGCATCATAGTCATGCATTGGCCAACATGCAGAAAGATACATAAGAGCAAATAGCATAAAACAGGAAATGATTATAGAGAGGACCACCACAGACCCTCATGACTGTGTCGAGATCAATAAGTCTCTTAAAATATCTGATCATTTGACCTTTTTATGACAGGACACGCACGGTCAGTGCAAGTTGTAAACTGTCATATGGTGTGGCTCTCCAAAAAAAACAATATTTATTAATTAATCATTTATAATATTTCTAAAAACATATTTTTACTGGAAAAAGTAACTTTTCATGCAAATGGTAAAAGTTTTCCAAAACCATAAGAAACCAACATATAAAGAGTACAATTAAAAAATTTGGTACTTATGTTTTAAACTTGAAAAGATTTTTCCTTTTCTTCACACAGATGAATTGCTATTACCACGGTGAAGTCCAAGGATACACACACTCTGATGTCAGCCTCAGTACATGCACTGGTATCAGGTAAGCACAGTATCACCTCCATAATGTTCCTGTATCCCATTGTGTATAGGCAGTAATTTCAACCGTATTGAGTTACAATTTTCAAAGTCATTAAAACTCCTTAAAAAAGTAGTTTAAAGCATGTGTGCTTTAGTGTGGAAAGCTATTATAGACCTTAAGTTGTCAAACATTTATTGCCTTGATATTGTTTCCAGTGGACTTCACAACTCTTCCTATGTGAAGGTTCATTTAGAGCCTATAAATCCGTGAGATTAAACATCAATAAAAACTTTAGTATCATCCCATGCTTCATTGTCTTGAAGATAAGTGGTACATTGTGTGACTGAAAGCATTTAACATGTCATGAAGACTTCAGCGATGTTGTTAAATATAATTAGAAGGAGCATATGGCTACAGTAAATTTGTTGTAGAAGCACAACTTTTACGACAGAATTGGTAAAGATGAACTCAGAGCTATGATTGAAGCAAACCCCAGGTCTCCTGTGTGTAATTACAAAACACTTCTACTGAAAGTCTTTACTTTATCTTCATTATCACAAGCCTGGAGACTTTCAGGTAGGCAGATATTAAGGCCACTTCTGAACACAGAAGGTTACTGTGAATCAAGGCCGAGATAAATGTGATCGTGGCTTTTTATCCTCACTGGCGTGGGGGTGTGAGATGGAAACTTTTTACATCTGCCGATGCTAAAATATGCAGTACTGTAGATCAGATTGCAAACCTGTTGAACTGTCTCTGCTCAGTACTTTCCGGTTTCATATTAGCAGCTTGGTTATAAATTGCAATGGGGGTATCATCAGATATAATTTAAATGATCATTCCTTCTGCAAGCATTATTTTGAACTATCAGTATAGCTCCAGATTTTCATCTGTTTTATCTTGTTATCATATTGCAAAGTGAAAACTCACTCTTCATCTCGCAACCTAATTCTGCAGCAGTGGCTCTTATACATACACCCTTCATATTAAATTATCTCTCAACAAAATCTTTCCAAATTTATTTTTTCACCCATGGCATTAAGGATATCAGTTTTGTCACAAATGTAAATTTACACATTTGAAACACAGTCATATCGCTCTCTGGTGAGTAATGGGTTATTGGTCATATAACTGGGTGGAGAAATAAAATTTTATACAGTCCAGTGTCATTCTGCAGAAAAATCCATATCCACCCATTTTCCAATGGGACAAAGACAAACAAATGGATTTATTAGAACTGGATTTATTGACTATAGAGTTTATTAGATGGTGGAGGGTCATCTGCCTTTAGTTTTAAAATGATATTGTACTGATAAAAATATAATTAAATTAGAATGAGATTATCTGATCTCAGAGTTAATATTTTTTAGCTATGTCACTGCAGCATTTAGCCAGAATGCAGACTTCATGATTTCTCCCATTAATTTCTCCCGTTTACATCATCCTTTTTGCTCACACTACATACTTAGAGCATAAGGTGTCCTGCACCTCAAGACAATTACCTGCAAGTTATACCATACAGCTTAATTGCATTTTTTTCTGAAGAAATGTAAGTGATGCTTGTCCATGTTTACATTACAACACAAAGCTATGGAATTGTGGGTGGTTGCCAAGAAATGGCTTCTGTATGCCGTTTCTGTGGTGTTCTGGGTGGTTACAAGGGCATTGCCTGGTAGTTGCTTACTGGTACAAGTCAAATGAGCCCACCTCCAAATCTCTAAGTCTCTGGGGTCACGTTTTTTAATCAGCCATGTTTTAGTACCTATATCTCAAGATGGAGTGGCCTGATGCATTCATTTGCACTCTGTTTTTTTCTTTAGTCCTCTCTCAATGTGTGCTCAAGTGCTAGAGTGAATGCGTCCTGTGAATGGGATTCCCTAATTAACTAATTTTTGCAGCAAAAAGTCTTCTCATACATAATCATGACTGATCATTGTTTACATTATCGATAATTGCTGTCACTTCAGGGTACTTGTGCACATCGTGCACAATTTCTAAACAACTCAATAAATTGATTAAACATCTTACCTTTGTGCATTTAAGACAAGTTGAAATTTATCATCATTTTAAACGGATGTTTATGATTTTTGAGAAAATTTTTTTCAGGAATTCAGAATTTCAGAAATTCTTATCTTTAGAACAATCTAAAAAAAGTTTTGTTTTTAGAACAATCTTAAGGAAAAAGATAAGAACATTATTAAGAAATGTTTTGGCAAAACAAAATATTCTTAACTGTATTATTAATTTAGAAAATAAGAAGAAATTGGCAATTAAAATTAATTTTGTTTCATGACTCCAGACACTTATCAATTTAAAAAGCCCTTCTCTACAAGCCGCACAATTTGAGATATAATTCTTATCAATATCACAAACGTTACAAGACAGGTTACGCATCAAACTTTAACACTTCACTGCTAAGTTTGAGCAATAGTAATTGTGATGCTTTTCTTAGCAAGTATAGCACAAAAGAAGTTGGCCGTTACCTTAGTAATATGTGTTTGTCTGTTTTGCTTCAGTAGGGGAAAAAAAAACACTTTTTAAAATAGTTTAAATCTGAATTCAATCCACAGAGGGTTTATCTTACTTGAAAATAAAACACTGATGGTGGAGCCAGCTTTTGAGCCAGCAAATGACACCCATGTGATTTATGAAGGACATCACCTACACTTCCCCTCCGGGACCTGTGGACACGGAAACAACATATCGACTGTCAGCCATATGAGCACTGGAGGACCGCCACAATCATTCAGCACAAGGGTATGAATGCGGTCTGTCAGCAACTGTCAATGTAGCAGCTGTTATAACAGTGTTTTGTTTGGAGAGTGTCACTTTTTTTCCTGAGGAAAAATTAACATTTAGCATGTGATGTCTTTGTTAATGCAGATGAGGGGATTGTGGTTGCCCTCACTTCCCATGCATGCTAAAACAAGATTAGAGAGCTCGGCGAGACATCAAAGGTTAACAGAAGATCCCAACATAGCAGTCTTGACATTGAAGATCTTATCACAACATAGCTGTCTAAATAAGATCCCATTGTATTGATTCAAATGGATAGCAGTAGATAGAGGATGCTGTTATAATTCAACATAATGGCAAACTGATGGTATCTATATAATAAAAGTGATTACAGATCTGTATCAATGCTGGCACTGATATTTTCAGACACATCTAAAGATTATAGATAATTTCATCGTCCATTCGAGGAGAATAAATCAAAAGGAGATGAAGACTCCTGATATTGTCACCATGGTGACTGCAGAACTGCTAGTCAAAGTTATAAAGATCTGAACGTGTTAAAATGGGAAGGATTTGAGTCTCTTGCCCTAATTTTTTTAAAGGAAACCTAGGTAAGTATCGTAAAAAAAAAAAAAAAAAAAATATATATA